AAAAATATATTCATAGAAATCTATTGCAATTTTATTTTATCATCAAAACATATGGTTGCTATGGAAACTAAAATACTATAAAATGGTATATTATAAAAATTAGTAACTAAGAAAAGAATTTTAAGAGTTTAAAAAAAAGTACAAATAGTTAGAAATCTATTACAATCTTATTTTATCATCAAAACATATGGTTGCTATGGAAACTAAAGTACTAAAAAAAGTAATATTATAAAAATTAGTAATTAATAAAAGGGTTTTAAGAGTTTTTAAGGCAATTAGATGATAAATACCAAGAAAAATTAATAAGTTATGAACAAAACTATTCCCATAAATGAAATAAAGTGTCTGTTAATTTTACGCCCACTTAATGTGCGCCTGTTAAGCAGCTCCCGATTGGAGCAGTAGGGTTGCTGGCCGCAAAAAAAGCCAAGGCAAACATCAAAAGCTGACCACCACACGCTGGCCATCTGGCCGACTGGCCAACTTGCCGTCCAAGGCAGAATCGCCGGCGGACTCTTGGAGCAGCGCCAGCACACAAACTGGTTTCCCCTCCCCGCAGATGCTTCTTCTTTTTCCTGGGGGTACTCACACACGCAAGGCAAGTAGTTTCGTTTTTTTCCCCCGATTTGAGATGGGGCGACGTCGCTGTTTGCGTGCAGCAAATGCTGCTTGCCTGTTATGATTCATGTGGGAAAACGTTGAACGCCCACAATAATGGACGCTTTCAGTCCGCTTCTTTGCCTTTTGGCTGTTAGCTAATCGGCGGTGTTAGGCGATAGTTTTCGGCTTTGGCGCTCAGTGGGGCGCGAGTGCTGCCGACTTTGCTGCGGGCCCAGTAGAAATTTGTGCAATAAGCAAAATGACGGGCACAAAACAAAATGTCCGGCCGGAGTGGGCGCCCGCAACTTCCGCCGACGGCGACTGTGACGGCGCTCTACATGGTCCGCCGCCATCATGCAGTTCCTAGGCCAGCGCCATCTTATCGCGAACGCCGAATACCCACATACCATGCCATACAGTAGTTCATAGTCGTAGAACCAGCGTTTGGGGGCAATTTTCTGTTTTCTGTTGGCCTGTGATGTGAGCAAACAAAATGACTGCTCAAAATTGAGCAAAATGTTCGAGCGATTGCGATTGCAGGGGCGACTGTTTGCATTAGAAATTGTGGTTCAAACAAACAATGTTGCTGCCCCTGCTGCTTCTTCTTCTTCGCCGCCAACAGTGTTGCACAGAGTGGAGCAGTGAAGCAGTGGAGCAGTGGCGGGGAAGAGAGCGAGACGGCAAGAGGGGCGCAGGGCTCGCATTTGTGGGCGTGTAGCATTGGGTTTTCCCTGCCTTTTGCCCTGGGCCACACGCTAGGTGGCGCCCCCTGTTAGCCACTCGCTGAAGCAGCCACTTTGATTCGATTGCCCTTTTCCAGGGAAATAAAAGAGGAAGTCCAGGTCCAGAGCGAAAGAGAGAGAGAACAGCTCAAGTGTTTGCTCAGCTTAAAGAGCTACTCGGTAATCACTAGTTTTGGCCTTAAACTGCCGCAATTTGTCAGCTTTGGCAATTTCTTCGCTCACACACACACACGCACACACCGGCGACCAGTCACATTGAAAACCCCTGCCATCGCGACACTATCGTCGTCCCGCTCGCACCCAGGCGAACGCCGCTCTGCTCGAATTCGCAGCCATATCGCCGGCCTGCTCGTTCTGGGCGCCTGGTGAAAAAGAGGGAATTCACTTTTGGCGGGGTTCTCGTTTTTCCAATTTTGTCCAATCGGCCTTTGTGGGCGCTGCTCTGTCGGAATTGCCGCTCCGCCCGTCCGACGAGTCCGGGGCAGCGACTGCTGATAAGGCGGGCATGTTGATAAGGCGTCGGCTTTTAGGGGAGTAGTTAGTAATTTGCGTTAAATGGGCAGCAACGGCAGCACCGGCAGCAAATTAATTCGCACGGTAGGCGTGGTTGCGGGCCTCCGCCCACATACAAACAACAAACAGCACGTGCCGGCGCTGCTTTCGGAACAAAAGTTCCAATTCCGATTGCGATTCACAACGAAATTCGACAACGGCGACAAGCGATTCGCTCCACTCTACGGCTGGGGAACGAAATCGCCCCACACACGCGATCTGGCAGGTGGGGACGTGCACCGGCCCGTGGTGGTGGCGGACTTTTTCAGACACGTTCGGTTTTCGGTTCGGTTTCCACCAGGCGACCAGCAGGCGCAGCTGGCTCGCTGGCTCATCGCACAAACCGGCCGTCGCTCGCCGAGAAACATCAGCTGCCGCCAACAATGGGGTGGATTATGGAAAATTTTGATCAAAACTCAAAGTGGGTGGGGCCAATGGGATGGTATGGCATTTCCCCGCACAGAGGGGAAATTCTCAAACACGTTTCATTTACCTGGGTATAAACGCCCTTTAATTGTCGGTAAAGGCGTACATTTCAACAGCGTGTTAACATTTTCGTTGCACTTATAGTGAACTTGTATACGTTAAACTTACCCAACCTTTAGCCTCTTCTGTATACACATTAAAAAATAACTATGTACACTCAGGGAAAAAGTAGGATTATTCGATGTCAAATCAAAAACGAAGGATATCATAAGTTCGGAAAGCGCGAATTTGACCTGTCCAAGAACGAAAATGTCAAATCAAGCACGAATAATTCAAGACTTAAATTATAGATTTGAGAACGAACGTTCTTGATTTAAAGAATCGACATGGGTGCGTCACAAGATGGTTTTAAGAACGAAAATATCGTAATAAAAGAACAAAATTTGTAATTCATTTTTGAACTACTTGTACTTAACATTTCTAATTCAACAAATTTACTTTAAATTAACATATTTTAGCAGTTGAAAATGTTTTAAATTCACGCACGCTTTTAAAAGACCGCTGACTTAACCAGGTACAAGTACTCTCGGTCAAAGGGCTAGTATGCCAATTTTTTCCTTTTAAACTAATTTAAAACGTAATTACAAAAAGAAAACAACTAACATGCTTTTAAAAAAAATCTTGTAAGAACTTTTAAGTAAAAGTAAAGTCAGAAACAGCGGCGGAGAGGCTTCGAACTCGGGACCATTCTCTACAAAATGTCACTGTGCCGGCGCCCCTAACAGCTCAACCACCCTGCAGACTTGCCGTTTCTGATTGCGATTTCAATTTATGTAGGTACAAACGATTCTTATTATAAGAACGTTCGTTTTGCCTAAAAAAAGGGTAATCGTAATATTTTAAAAAGTCCAAAAAGTTGTCTTTAACAATTAAAATTGATGTTCTTTTTATTTCAATTTGTATCACCATTTTTGTTATTTACCTTATCTTATTTTAATAATCACTTATTTAAATGTGAGTTATTTATGGACATTAATTGTCTCATTAGGTAAACATACTGTTCTGATTTCCTGTCTACGCTGGGAACTCAACCCGGGCTATGATGACATACAGGAAATCGACTGCTTACGAAATTTCACTAGCGCCACCTAGGTTTCACGTTAAGTGACGATAGTGAAATCTCGTAAACAGCCGATAGGAATGAACTATAGGAGGAGCTTTTTGTTAGTTGAGTAACGAGTATTATTTGATAGTCGAGGTCGTTGACTATAGCGCTTTCTCGTTTTTTTTTGGTAATGGTAAGGTAATGAACGCGACTAAAGGGTATTACCTTTCTACCCAGGGGCTTTGAATGAGGGAACCACCTGTACGACAATGAACAATACAATTCAATTTGATCTGGTTACAGTACCCTTTCTCATTAGATATAGTCAGATGTTTGAAACTTAGTTTCTTATATTAATATATCCTAAATAATATTATAACTTTAACTCTAAAGTCAATTTAACTAAAAAAAATGGTTATACTATGTTAATGTGGATGTCAATATAAAACTAATGGAAAGAAAAATATTTCGTTATAAGGCGAGGGTATAAAATAATCGGTTTCATTTCTAGTCTCCTACTTTATTGAAGATTATCTGGTTGCCGGCACTGCGGTCATACTGAATCAATCAGGTGAAAGCGACTTCGGAATTATCGCGCGACAGAGCGATAAGTCTGACGACTGATTAGTTAACCAGAGGCGACCGTCGAGGTGAAAGTTCACGCAGCTCCAAAATGTCAGCAAAGGCAGTCAAGTCCAGCAAACCCGCGTCCAAGGAGCCGTCGGCGGTCACCAAGCTCTACCTGTTCGCCTACAACGCCGGGCAGGTGGTCGGATGGAGTTACATCCTGTGGCAGCTGGTTAACTACTACCTGCTGCAGGGACCCGAGTTCCGGGCAAAGGTCACGCTGTGGGAGTACACGCGGCTGGCCGTGATCATCTTCCAGAACGCCGCCTTCGTCGAGATCCTCAATGCGTCCTTCGGTCTGGTCAAGTCCAATCCGGTGGTCACCGGCTTCCAGGTGTTTAGCCGCATGATGGTGGTCGTCGGTGTAGTGATGGCCACGCCGACAGGAAAAGTATCACCAGGTCTACCCATCGCCCTGCTGGCCTGGGCCATCACCGAGATCATCCGATATGGATACTACGCCCTGAACATCGTCAAGGTGGTGCCCCATTTCGTGGTGTTCCTGCGGTACACCACCTTCATTGCCCTGTATCCCATTGGCGTGACCGGTGAGCTGCTGTGCTTCTGGTGGGCCCAGAGCTATGCCCGTGAAAACAGCGTTTGGAGCGTGGTGATGCCCAACAAGTGGAACGCCACCTTCTCCTACTTCGGGTTCCTGTGGATCGTCATGCTGGGCTACATCCCCATCTTCCCTCAGCTGTACCTGCACATGTTTGCCCAGCGTCGCAAGATCCTCGGCGGAGGTGCAAGCGGAGCACCCAAAAAGAAGGCCAACTGAACCTTGACCAGCGGCGAATGCAAATTATTGCATCATTTGCATATCTTTGGCCGTCGCACTTTGGAGCCGTTTTTGCTTTTTGGGGTCTCTCTTGCCTCACCTCTTACACAAGCACATTCGTTCGGACAAAGCTTAGTTTTAAGTGGTTTTGTGTACAAATAAACCTAGATACTCTTCCAACTAATTTATTTTTCCATCGCTTTTAAAGTGTGGTGTAACAGTAACGGCTTACATATTATTTATTAGTGCTGCGACCACTGAATGGTCTTTAGGTCGATGCCCTCCTGGACCATCTCCCACAGAGGGGACATCTCGCGCAGACGCTCCACATGTTTGATGCACTTGTCTGCGGTGTAGTCGACCTCCTCCATTGTGGTAAAGCGGCCGATGCCGAATCGAATGGAGCTGTGGGCCAGGTCCTCGTCTGTGCCAATTGCGCGCAGCACGTAGGAGGGCTCCAGGGAGGCGGAGGTGCAGGCTGATCCACTGCTCAGAGCCACATCCTTGAGAGCCATCAGTAGGGACTCGCCCTCGACGTAAGCAAATGACAAATTCAGGCAGCCATTGTATGTGGCTGTGGCATCACCATTTCTAATGACATGCGGCAAGGCACTCGTAATCCTGTCCAGCAGGCGATTGGAGAGAAAGTCCACCCACTTCTTGTCGTAGTCCATCTCCTGCATAGCCAGTTCTGCAGCAGCTCCCAATCCTACGGCCAGCGGTGCTGGAACCGTTCCGCTCCTCAAGCCACGCTCCTGTCCGCCGCCGCTTTGAATGGGCTCCAGGCGAACCCTGGGCCTACGACGCACATAGAGGGCGCCCACACCCTTCGGCCCGTAGATCTTGTGGCCCGATATGGACATAAGATCAATGTTCATGGCGTTCACGTCCAGCGGGATCTTGCCCACCGCCTGGGCGGCGTCCGTGTGGAAGAATACTTTGCGGGAGCGGCACAACTTGCCGATCTCATCGATGGGCTGTCTGACGCCAATCTCATTGTTCACCGTCATGATGGACACCAGCGACGTCTCCGGCGTGATGGTCTCCTCCAGCTGCTGGAGGTCAATAAGTCCGTTGGCCAGCACAGGCAGGTAGGTGACTTTGAAACCCTCGTTCTCCAGAGCCCGGCAAGAGTCTAGAACGCACTTGTGCTCCGTCTGGGTGGTGATCACATGCCGCTTCTTGGTGCCGTAGAACCGGGCCACCCCTTTCACAGATATATTATTTGACTCGGTGGCGCCGGATGTGAAGATGATCTCCTTGGGGTCGGCGCCGATCAAGGTTGCCACCTGCTCGCGAGCCTTCTCCACCGCAGACTCCGTTTCCCAGCCGTAGGCGTGGGTGCGGGAGTGGGGATTCCCGTAGTAATTCGTCAGGAAGGGGAGCATGGCGTCCAGCACACGTGGATCCATCGGCGTTGTGGCCTGGGCATCCAGGTACAGTGGTCTTCCCTCGGTCTGTTCGTTTTTGATGTTGAACCGCACCTGCCTCTCCCGGAATTCTGTTGGCAAGCCAGATTGGTTATTGATTATGGTGCTCTTTTGAGGACCCGCTTACCTTTCGATGTGGCGGCCGGTTTTGCGGCTGTCGCGGAGGAGGTGGCTTCGTACCTGACTACTGTAGTCACTGCATTTGTGGCCCGCGAGCGCAGCACCTGCGCCTGGATTCGTCCCAACACTTTTTGCATTGTGATGGAATCCTTATTATGCTTGTGTTAAAATTCGTTATCAACGCGGATTTCACAATCAGTAGGACCACGCTGGGCGGGATAAAATATACCGAAGCACTCGAAAATATACTTAAATAACACAATAATCACATAAACGTGGAAAAACTTATTTATTTTATAAAATTCCTATTATCCACCAAATAAATAAAATGGTTTTGACTATTTAATCATACGGAATAGTTATATGTTGCTTATGGCATTAGCAAAGCAGCTGTTCTGAACTTCAAAATATTTAATACCAGCTTCTGGTATTTGCATTTCTGGTATTTTAACGGCACATTTTATTTGTTGTTTTTGAAGCGGATAGTACTCAGTTGAAAGTGAATTAAATTCACAGTTTTTAAAAAGATATATAAATCTATTTAAACATGGTCGTGTGCCGGTTCTTCCAGCAAGGTGCTTGTCGCTATGGGACAAAATGCCACAATGAACACTTCGATGTCAAGTGAGCGAATGGAGGTTGAATCACCATCAACATGAAATCCTAATTCCTCTTATTCTTTAGGCAATATCTCAAAGCCGACATGGAATCCAGCTTGAATGGCAAGATGTGGCCTTTCTCTGCCTACGGACCCTTTAAGGACAAGGCCAATTTCCCCAACTTCATCGAGGACCAGTCCTTCGAGGAGGTCCGATACCTGTGCTACGAGGCCAAGCGTCAGAACCAATTCGAGCAATTCGCGCAGCAGTTCAACCGCGAGGTCCTGGAAGCCACCAATAAGATGAAGACTATGCTGCAGATGTCGCCACAGGTTTTAGAAATGATGATAAAGATACACGAGACGCCGGAGGGCGGAAATGTGTCGGCAGCTCCGCAGCAGCCCAGTAATCCCTTTGCTGCAGCTGCTCCGGCGTCGAATCCATCTGCGTCCATCTTTGCGAAGCCCACGTTGAGTACCGGAAACATCTTCGGCAATGCCACAAGCCAAGTAAACAACGCAAACAGTATGTTTGGTGGTGCCATGGGGAATGCGAATCCAGGAAACAGCTTTTTGGGCGGAGGAGCTGTGGCAGCAGGTGCAACAAGTGTCTTTGGCCAACCCCAGCAGCAGTCACAACAGCCTGCAGCTCAAGCCTTCCAAGGGGGCAATATTTTCACCCAGGCGCAAGCTCAGCCAGTGAATCCCAATCCTTTCGGTGGCTTCCAACAGCAGCACCAAGCGCAGCCGGCAGGGATCTTTGGCCAAGCAGCTAACCCCTTTGGCCAGGCGGCACAGCAGCAGCAGCAACCTCCTTCCGGATTATTTGCTCAGGCAGCAGCCACCGGTTTCTCAAACCAACAGCAACAAATGCAACAGCAACATCAGCAGCAGCAGCAGCAACAACAGCAGCAGCAACAGCAGCAGCAGCAGCAGCACCAACAGCAGCAGCAGCAACAACAACAACAGCAGCAACAGTTGCAAATGCAACAGCAACATCAGCAGCAGATGATGCAACAACAGCAAATGGTACAGCAGCAGCAACAGGCCCAGATGACCAACGAAGTTCAATCCTCTGTTTACAGTCGCCTTGAAGATCTCAACGAACAGGAAATCGAAGCCTTCAAGGCGGATCAGTTTCTACAAGGTGCCTTGCCTTTCAAACCACCACCTCGGGAACTTTGCTGATCCAAAACTAGCGTATAATGTATATAAGTCTACTTAGATCCGATATTACTTAAGTAAATCTAATAAACTAATGCATCATCATGTTGAGTCGTTCCATGTTGATAGCGTAGACGGCATGGGAACCGATCAGGTTGCGATCCCGGAAGGCCAGCTGGCAGTCCTTGAGGGTGATCACAATGTGCTCGCTGGGCAGACTGTAAAATGTAATATAAAAGTTAATCATATGAATAAAACAAATGGGACAGAAGAGCTAGCTTAAGCTTATGTCAATGATAATAAGCAATCCTTACACTTCTTCGCAGGCGGAGAGGAAGGTCACATCGTCGTTCTGTCGCCGCATGAAGTTGGCCGTATTTAGCTCCTTGTCCAGCTCCAGTGGCGTGTCGTCCACCTTCTGGCGGGTGACGGTGTTGCGCAGCGACGGGTCTCGCAGCGGAGCCCCCACATCGTAGTAAAAGTTTCCTTCGCCGCTGGTCTTGTAATGCTTTCGCTTCTTGATGATGGCCGAAAGCAGATCCTTGAGCAGGACCTGCACTGCCATGGCCACGTACTCGGCGACATTGTCGTCCACGGAGACCAGTCCGATTTCCCAGGCACCGATCAGAAAGCGTCCCATTATAAAGCCGGCATCGGGCAGGAAGAGTTCCTGGGCGCAGTATCGCTGTGACTGGAGCTGTTGTTGCATGGGCTCCGAGGATCCGCCGACCGCAGGAGGTGGCCGGATAATCTGCATGTTGTCCTCGCCCATAAAGTCCAGGACTTCGCAGAGTTCAAAATTCAGACGCTCAGCGAAGGTCCGGGAGCTTCTCTTGCGCCGCTTGCTCCGGTTGCCACTGCTGCTGGTTTGCACAGACGGTGGATTCTCCACAGGAGAGAAGGCATCGATCTTGTTGAGCAGCGCCAGCAGGAACTGGTTGTGCAGGTGCAGTTTGTCCGGCGAAAGGATTTTTCGCGACTCCGCATCGAATTCCTCCTTGGACCAACGGCTGCGGAACCAGTTCTTCATGTTGGCCCGGTAGCGCTCCCAGTTGTCGCCCAGGGCCACCACTAGCGCCTCCTTGGTGGCAAGCACTCGGTCGGTCAGCATTTTATACCCAAGCAGAAAATTAAAAGATTTTGCAATGAAAACAAATTTTATCAGCTGCTTAGAGTGACCGTTTATTAAAGTACATTAAACACCAAGGATGGCTTTAAAGAAATTTACCAAAATTAGTTAAGGATGTAGGTTGTTTATAAAAATTAAAGGTTTCATATGTTAATGCCTGTTTACACTAGGGAGAGTTATGAAGTTATGCGCTTTTTTTTACATAGTATTTTCTAATAGGTAAAAGTTACATTTTCCATTTTGACTACAAAAACTTTTCGAGTAATGTATTTTAAAAGAAAGTCATGAAAAAAACAACATTGTTTTCTAAAAAAAAGTAGGGATCACTTTTGACGGCAGTATACAAACCCTGCAGTGCCATTAATCGCAATTTATGCAGAAAATCACTGCAAAAAGATCATTAACAAGCACCTTTTTAGTAGAGGTTTTGTTTGAAAAGTGGTGATTAATTTAACATAGGCATGTCCTACGATCTCACTGCACAAAATTGAACTATCGCAACAACAAAAAGGGTTGCATACTAAGACTTTAAAATTTGCAATTGGTTTGGAAGAAAGATCAGTGAAAGTATACAGGAAAAAGTTAAGGAACTTTGATCTGATGGCAAAAATTCATCCGAAACTCCGTTTTAGAGTTATACCCAAAACAAGATTTTGGGGGACTTTTCAAAATTCAAGTTTTATTTTCTTTGTCAGTTTGACCCAACATATTTTTAGGCTCCCTAAATTTTAATTAACTAATATTAGAAAGTTTAGGTTTACCACTTTTGGAAAAACTCGCACCTTGGCGGGAAAGCATCTATAAATAGTTAAATTTCGAAAAGCCGTTTGGTATGCTTTCTTTTCGGATTGACCTTAATTTAAGGATTAGTGTGCTAAAAGTTTCAAAAAAGGGCTAAACAAGTCCTTAAATATCTGCCTTCTTATATTTTTATAGATTTAGTTGATTAAAGAAAGTTATAAACCACCTCGCATAGAGCAGTCGAAACTTCATTTTGAACATTTTAACGACTCGGCTGAGTAATGTTTTAACCAGATCTAAGAAAGTTTCGGCAGACTTGACGGTCAGGAAGGATTCCGATTAGGCGGACCAAACAGTGGATTTGGCGGATCCAACAACGGGTTTGGTGGACCCAACAACGAATTTGGCGGACCCAACATGAATATAGTCCAGATACTTACGGTACACGCTCTTTTCAGATTTCAGATATTAAAATCAGAAAAATGGAAAACTCATTTTCATTGTTCTTATAAGCAAAGTGAACAATGTAAACATACTTAATTGCAAAGAAATCAATATGACGATTTACTACGTTAGCATATCTTTATATAAATAAACACATTCATTAAACATTAAATTTATTATTAGGACGTAGCTATAAATAAGTTGGTTATAGCGCCCACATGTTGGTCTAATAAAAATGTCATAAATTATGCTGTCGAAAATAATATTCTTCGATGGAAATGTATACATATGAGAAAATTCGCTCATCGTCATCTAAGTGGAACCCGGAAATCTATACACTTACCGGAACAGTTAAAGGAGTGTCAAGCATTGAAGTTCTACTGAATCCCACGGGTACTGAACACATCTACCAAAGATAAAATCGAAATCACTTCGGCTTCGAAAACACTTTTTAAGGTGCCGAGGAGTAAACAATAATATGTATTCAATTAGAAGTGCGATAGACTTAAATCGTTATTATACCCGTTACTCGTAGAGTAAAAGGGTATACTAGATTCGTCGGAAAGTATGTAACAGGCAGAAGGAAGCGTTTCCGACCCCATAAAGTATATATATTCTTGATCAGGATCACTAGCCGAGTCGATCTAGCCATGTCCGTCTGTCCGTCTGTCCGTCTGTCCGGATGAACGCTGAGATCTCGGAAACTATGAGGGCTAGGCTATTGAGATTTGGCGTAAAGATTCCTGAGCTTCTTACGCAGCGCAAGTTTGTTTCAGTAGACTGCCACGCCCACTCTAACGCCCACAAACCGCCCAAAACTGTAACTCCTACAGTTTTGATGCTAGATAGAAAATTTTAACTGAAATGTATTGTTCTCATCAATACCTATCGATTGACTTAAAAAAAAGTTTGCCACGCCCACTTTAACGCCCACAAACCGCAAAACCCTGTGACTCCCACAATTTTCATGCTAGATAAAAAATTTTAACTGAAATGTATTGGTCTCGTCAATACCTATCGATTGATCCAAAAAAAAGTTTGCCACGCCCACTTTAACGCCCACAAACCGCAAAACCCTGTGACGCCCACAATTTTCATGCTAGATAAAAAATTTTAACTGAAATGTATTGGTCTCGTCAATACCTATCGATTGATCCAAAAAAAAATTTGCCACGCCCACTCTAACGCCCATAACGCTTAAATCTGTATACCGCCGGTAGGTGGCGCATTTTAATCTCGCTTTGCTGCTTGCATATCTCCATATAGCTGAGTAACGGGTATCTGATAGTCGAGGTACTCGACTATAGCGTTCTCCCTTGTTTTTCACCTACTTTCCTTTACACACCTGTATAAGTGATTTCGAAACGCTAATAATATCTTTGGAATTTCCTTTCTGCAATATGAAGTACTATCCCCAAGATTCTTTCAGGCCAGAACCTTTGGTTGAGGGTGGCGGGCAGACCGTGGCCATCCTGTGCTCCTCAGGAACAAACGGATTACCAAAGCCCATCTGCCTTTCAAATAAAAGTTTATTACTATCCTTCGGTATCAGTAGCGAGCTTGTACTGTATACGTCCAGCAGTATGGATTGGTTAACAGGTCTTTTGTCCTTTATCGCAAGCGTTATGTTTGGTGCTACCCTCATCAAAAGTAGACCCGGTGAATTTTGTTCAACTGGTTAGGAACTACAAGGTCAGTGTTGTATTCTTGCCTCCTGAGCATCTTTCTGCCCCGAAGCTATGGAATCCGTTAGGAACTTGTCTTATGCCGGAGGATCTATTTTCCTGTCCACCGAGTTCATAAGCTTTTCAATAAAGCAACACTCACTTCGAATTATGCATTAACGGAGTGTGGAGTTATAGTAAGAAATGTTACAAACAGCAAACTTTCCTCTGCTGGCAGACCTTTTCAGGGCGTCATAATCCGCATTGTTGATGATTTCGGGAAGAACCTGACGTATAATCAAGTTGGAGAGGTATAAGCACACATGGGCCGACCCTGGAACGGATATTACGGAAACCCCGAGGAGAGCAGTCGCTTCCAGGACTGGGGGGCTGGTTTCACACCGGTGATCTGGCGATTTTTGATAGCAATAACTTTTTGTACATCGTGGATCGTAAAAAGGAAGTTTTTAAGTACCAAGGGATCCGTAACACTCCTGAGATCGAGGACGTTATATCGGAGCTGCCTCAAGTGAAAAACGTGTGTGTTGTGGGCATTTACAATGAAAGGGTAGGCGATAAAGCTGGAGCTTTGGTCGTGTTAAGCAAAGGATCCGTTGTATCTGCTCAGGAGATTGTGCATCACGTGGCCAATCGGTTGCCGGCAATTCAGAAGCAACTCCATGCCGGAGTCCCATTTACCGAAAAGTTGCCGGCAAATGCAAACGGAAAGACTTTGAGTAAGACAGCGCGGGATGAATTCATAGCAAATCCCAACTAAAAAGCTTCCACGGAGTCGCTTTCGACATATAAAAAATATTTTTATTGCGTAATAAAAATGATGTTATGCTATTTTCGTTTATATAATACCTGGGATATCTGCTCGGGACAAAACTGCTCAACTGGGTCGGCACCTGAGCCCACATTCGCAAAATAAATATTCCTAACAATAAATAAATTGTGGAAAATGTTCCCATAAAGAAAAAAATAACCACAATGTTAAATGTTAATTATACAATTCTTGCATAAGCTTTGAAGATATAAATACTGTGCACATATGTATAAGACTATAAACTACCCATTTTTGAAAGATACATCACTGTTAAGAGAGGCCTGTTCGTTCAAAAAATTATATAACCTATTTGAAGATCTTAAGTCGTGTTTCCTATTAAGAGAAACTTTACTAGCTTAGAATAAATATTAGGATTCCTAATTGACGCGATCCCACCGCCAAACTGTGCTGTCGTCGCAGACACAAACCAAAATAGAGCCATCCTTAGAGAAAGAAGTCTGCCGAATAGTCGAGTTGCTTTTGGGGTGAACCAGCTGGCTGCACTTAGTCAAATTGGGATCGTTGCAGTCCAGTTCCCAGACAAAGGTGGTGCCCTGTTGATTGCCCAGGGCCAGAATCTTTTGCCAGGCGTTAAAGGCGAAGCGCACAAACCAAATCTCGCACATTTTGTAATCAAAATGATGAAGTACCGTGGTGGCCGACTCCTGGGGTTTGATCTCGTGCCAAGGGGCAGAAAGTTTTCCCGGCTTCCAGCACACAATGGAGTTCTCGCAGGATTTCGAGAAGACAAAGTCCCCAAACCATTGAACGCAATCCACATAGTTGCGGTGTATATCCCTTGTAGAAAAGTCCGGAAAGTGCTCTTTGATGGTGGGGAACGGAGCTGTGTTTTTGTTGGGGCTAAATCCCGAGCTCAGCTCGATGGCCTCTTTTATGTCAGGCTTATCCAAGCGCCACAGTTTCAGCGAGTGATCCATTCCACTAGACATGATGCGGTCACCTCGCAAATCGAAGTCCACGGACAACACTTCATCGCGATGTCCTTCGACGCCTCCAAAAACAGCAACACATACGTCCGACTGGATGTTCCACAGCCGCAGCGAGTGATCCTTACTGCCTGACAGAAGTAACTGCGGCCTAACCGGATGAAACTTGAGCTCGTTGATGGCGTGCCCATGACCAATATAGTTTTTGCTGCATTGGTGTTTCACGGGATTGAAAATCCGGATGACGCCGCGGTAGCCAGCTGCAGCCAGGACAGGATCGCCGGTTACCGTGTCGTAGGACCAAGCGCAGGTGTAGAAACTTTCATCGGTCTAAAAAAAAGGAGACATAAACAAATGTTCATTTTTACTTGAGTAGCTCAAAAAGATTCATTTAAATTAGACTTTTGCGACTGTTGTCTCAACAAAATTAAAGGGAGTAATATATCTTTAAAACGATAGAGCACTAGTGATGTGTTGAACTGTTATCTCATTAGTTTTAATGATATCCTTAAAAACTATGTGTTGATATTAAACGCAATATTAAGCAAAGCCTTAACCATTTTAAAAATGTATGTAAGGAAAGGACTAACTCGTTTATAAGACGTTAATCGCTGTTGTTTATAATGACCATTTTAGGGAAATGAATAAAAATGTATACTCATAGCTTTCTTAATGAAAAGCAAACCTTGAAATTGTTACTATAGAGTTCAATGGCTTGAGTACCTACATCGGGATCTGCGTAGACCTGCAGCAAACGGATTCCGTTGCAGGACTCGTCGCCGTTGCTCCTCTCGCACTCGTAAATGGAAACCCGATCCTTGCCAACGGTGGCGAATACCTGGGGCTGACCTCTGTCCAGGAACGGATTGAACTGAACGCCGAAGATCTGATGGTTATGGTCCTCGCGGACATGGGAGCTGCAATGTTTCCGAGATGTAATGCACACAAATCTAGCTGTCCCAAGGGAACCTCACCTGTACTTGTACAGCGGTTGGACCATTTTCGGAGCCTTAACCCGTCGGCACAGGCGGTTCAACTTCCGTGTGTTAGGCGATTTGCTTCTGGTGGTGGTTGTAGTCGTGCTGAACAAACTGGCGGAGTCATCCCGATCGACGGAGTTGACTTCGTTCTCATCCTCTTGCTCCAAAAGATTGCCGGCACTCGAGGAGTTATTGCTCAGAAGTGCCTCTGGAGGAGATTGGGCTAGGGATTCTTCCTCCGCGGGTGGCTCTTCACTGGACGTACCCATCTCGAGAGGATTAGTTTCTGTCATGGCTGGTTAGCTTCCGCCAATTTTTAAGCTTTTTTTTGTTTACGTTACAATTATTTTCCCCAAAACAAACTGTTTCCCGCTAATGTGACCGTGCTAAGATTATACCATGTAACACCGACGTTGCCACTCTGCTGGCAGATAACACCTGTTTGACTAACAATTCTAATGTATTTAAACCTAATGCACATAGTTATTATTTGCCTAATCTACTTCTTGGCGGCGAGCAGCTCGTCCAGGTGCGCCTCCACTTCCTTGTGGGCTTTGACACTGTTTTCGGTGCGGGATGCGGCCTCGTGGACAAAGAAACCACGCAGCAGGTCCGCCTTTACTTGAACCAGTTGCGCCTGCGCCTGTTGCAATTTCAGTTCGTTGGCCAACTGTGGTCCCAGTTTTAGCTCGGCGGCGTCCTTGAGCAGGGAGCATTTGCGACCCAAAAGCGCCACCAGTTGCTGAAGCCCACTGCGATGCTCTTCTTCCAGTCGCAGAATCTCCTTTTGGTCGTCACTCAAGTCCGCATCCAGGCCTCCAAAGGCATCCGGAAACTCTTCGCGCATCTTGTCGCCCAACTCCGCTATGGGTTGCAAAGTAGATCGTAGTTGAGCGGATAGTTTGGTGCGCACCGTCTTGCTGTCCGTATAGCTCAAGGCCGGAAAACTGCTGCCATTCTGCAGGCCTGTTGGATAAGCTAACAATGTAATCACTGCTTTTCGGATGAGTCGGTAATCTCTTTACCCAGCACTTGCTCCTGGCCACCGCTTTCAATCTCACCCAGTCGCGCATAGTTCCCAATGGATACCAATTTGAGGGCTCTTTTGATTTCCGCACTCTGTTTTGGCCCTAAATCCAGGCGACGCAGCTCGTCCAGCACTAATTTCAGCTTGAGCACCTTCTTCAGCTCCGCATCGCGCGCCTCCCGCAGGTCATCGGATTCTCCGGGCAAGAGCGTGGTGGAGGGATCTTCCATGTCCAGCTAAAAATGCCCAGAATTTGTTTGTTTAATTCGAATGGGCAAGCGCATGACCGAGATATGGCAACGCCACTTAAAAGGTGTGGCCAGAGGCGAGCACACAGATAATATTTCGAAGATCAGAATTCACTTTTATGGTCACTCTAAGACAACTATTTGAAAAAGGATATTTGGAAAAATGTTAAGTTCCCAATTAATTATGGAACAAATCCGAGATCATCCCATTGTGGCCACCATTAGCATTGCCGTCGGCGCTGTTCTGGCATCCGAGGTGATGTGGAAGGCGGTTTTGTACTTTCGGGACAAACGGGAGAAGGCACGCCGCGTGCACGAGGTGGTTTGCTTCAATGAACTGGGCGAGATCTGCGCCGCACAGCATCTCCGTAACTGCAGTCCGGGATCACCGGAACCCGTGGTGTTCCGCTGCCAGAACAAGCACTGCACCCTGAGAAATGTGGGCAAGATCGTTGAGCAGATCGACCGGGCGGAGCACTCCATTGACTTGGCCATCTACACCTTCACCTCGCTGACCGTGGCGGAAGCTTTTAAGCGAGCCCTGCAGCGCGGCGTGAATATCCGGATTATCAGCGACGGGGAGATGGTCTACTCCTTCGGATCGCAGATCACTACGCTGGCCCGCTTTGGAGTACCGGTGCGCGTCCCCATCACCACTTACATGATGCACAACAAGTACTGCATAATCGATGGAGTGGAGCGCGTCAAGGAGATTCGCATGCTTAAGAAGCGCAAGTGGATGCGTCCATGTTACAGTATCGCCATCATAGGGTCCGTCAACTGGACTCGCCAGGGATTCGGTGGCAATTGGGAGGCCTGCGTGATCACCCATGACGAGAAGGTAACGCTCATGCTCCAGGCGGAGTTCAACCGCATGTGGAAGGCCTTCGAGAAGGACGAGAACAAAATAATCCAGAAGGAATAGATAACCTTAACGGTTAAGACTTGGCAGCTTTTTACCAAATGGCTCACCACATTACCATTCCTTTAAACTTTTAAATAAGTGTAAAATAGATTTGATAATAATTCACGTTGAATGTAACTATTTAGCAATGTTTAAGAATCGTAAAACAATAAGCTTAACAATTTACATAGCCATCGAATTACTACCAAAAAATAGGTATATCTAAAATTAAGAATACTTTTAAGCTTTGACTATTTTCACTATTCAGTTTAGCTTGTCTGTTCCATACCATTGAAATATTTTCGGAACTAGAAACAACATGTGACATCTGTGATTGTCACACTGGAATTAATTATGATTTAAGATTTTACTATTTTTATAAAAGCTAGTTTTTGTTATAATCTGATTAGGTATTAGGTATATTTTCATTATCATTATCAACTATTACCATTAATGAAAAGCTCTTAAATAGTTCTGTAACAGCATATATTGCATACACGATTTTGCAAATTTAAATACATAGCACTGATTTCATTATATTTCTATTGTTCTCTTAAAATAAACCCATGTTGCTATAAACTATTTGTCTTGTTGTTTCAATTTGTCAACACGACGCAAGAATGTCTCCTTTAAGCCATTGAGTCGCTCTATTTCTGCCCGGATTTCCAGGTATTCCAGGTAGGACACTCCAGACTTTAATAAAATTTCGTGTTTGAGAGTAAGCACGCGGGCCACTTCCTTTTGCTTGCGATGCAGAGCAGTCAATTTAAGCGAAACGGTCGAGTCCTTGGGATCCTTCGACTTCTTGGAGTTCTTCGATTTCTTTGACTTCTGTGGGTAAAAAATTATATAGTACACGTTTGATCGAGTTTTAGATTTTCTTACTTTGCTTATTTCCATTGTTTATGTTTAGATCTCCGCGTGCTTATTTGTTGATATGTGCGTTGTGAATGGTGAAATGGGAAGATGAAGAATTAAGGCGGCAGTTTTGTTTATAACTCTGTATGGTATTTCTTTATTATTGCTTATTTTCGCTTTATATGGGTTAATTGTAAATAGGAAAGATAAAACTACTGTAATTGCCTAAATAATATTATTTTTAAATCACTTTTAATTTTTACAATTTTTTTTATTTGGTTTCTGCTAATCAAATTGAAAAGTTTGTTTATGTTTTACATTTATATTTCTACATTTCCTTACTCGCAATTACATACGATTTTTAAAAACGGAGTATATTTTTTAGTTATAGGCTGACCCTTTTTTCGACGACCATGTTTGTGAATGGCAGATTGTGAAGCATTACTTCTTAAAATTTCACTTAGTATTTTTTTATCCACGGCTGATATATTCCCGCTTCCCACTTGTGGTCACACCGGCGTCGTTTATAAAAAAATTGTGAAATTTTCTCTTTTTTGTTGGAAAAAATAAAAAAAATGGGTTCCTCGTCGTCCGGAAAGAAGCACAAGAAGGACAAGAAGAATCGGCATCGGTCGCGCTCGCCGGAGCGCCAGCGGCGGACGACCGAAGACGAGGACGTGACCCTCGACCTCACGGACGACTCGTCGTCGCGTCACAGACACCACAAGCACAAGAAGCACAAGGAACACAAGGAACATAAGGAACACCGCCACAAGCACCACAAGCACAAGGAGCGCGAGCGGCCCAGCGAGGTCATCTCCCTGGAGGAATCGGACTCGGATAGTAAGTGTTTGCCCGCTTTTACCTCAAGTGCAGGCCAGGCTCAAGGGCAATTGCCGCAGGCGGCGGTTCCGGCGGAAAAGCGATATTCTGATTGACGGACCGTCCAATGCCCGGCAATCGCTTTGGTCCTGCACTTTTCCTTTTCCGGAAGTACTAAACCCATCGTTGCGTTTCTCTGCGTTTCTCCCTTTCTTCCAGGTGTTCCGCTGCTGGAGCAGATTGTGAGTGGGCGAGCAGAAGTGGTTGAAGCGATGGTCTCTCTGGTGATTAGACAGTTCTAACCGGTGTTCCCTATTTGCAGGTTCCGATTGCGTGGAGGTTCCGGTGCAGGAACAGGCCAAGCAGGTGAAAGATGCCAGGGAGTCCTCCAATCGCGACCGGGAGCGGGATTCTGGACGAGAGCGTGAACTTCTAAGGCAAAGGGAACGTGAGCGCGAGCATGAGCGGGAACGTGAGCGGGAACGCGAGAGGGATCGGGAAAAGGAGCGCGAAAGGGAGCGGGAAAAGGAGCGCCTCAGGGAGCGGGAGGAACGCGAAAGGGAGCGTGAAAAGGAACGTCTCAAGGAGCGCGAGAAGGAGCGGCTTAAAGAGCGTGAAAGGGAACGGGAACGCGAACGAGAACGAGAACGGGAGCTCACCGCTCCCCCACCGCCACAAATCTCCAGGCATGCCGAATACGATTCCCGGCGAGAGCGCGAGATTGAGAGGGAGCGGGAGGCCCGCAAGCGATCGGGCAGAGAACGCGAACGGGAACGCAACCGGGAACGCTCCCGATCCCAGTCTCCACAGCAGGCCTCACGGAAACCAGCCGCCAGGGAACGCGAGCCCTCTTCACGTTCCTTCTCGCCCATACCTGAGAACGGCGCCGGCGATGTCCTTTCCATTACGGAAACCAACAAGCTTCGCGCCAAGCTGGGCCTAAAGCCACTCGAAGTGGATAGTGGTCCAAGCAAAGTGGCGCCGCCTGCAGCAAACAGTAGCCAGGCTGAGAACAAGAAATCGTCTGGCGAGGCTGATCTCTCATCGTACAAAGATGAATGGGGCGAGTTCTTGCACAAGCCGGCCGACAACCTTAAGGAGAAAAAGCAGGCAGAAAAGCTGCGCGAGAAGCTCAAGCAGCGCAAGGAAAAGCGCTTCTTGGAGGAGCGCCTGGCTCGCATTAAAACGCTGGGAGAATCGGACGAGGAAACAGATAATATATCCAAGTGGGTGGACAAGAACAAGCGAGTGGTCAACGAACGCGAAGAGGCCAAGCGCAAGGTAATTACTTTTACGTCCTCCTAAACCATTTTATTTTAATTTATAAAATGTTTCCCATCGCAGGCCAAAGAGCTGGAGGAGCTGGATGAGGCCTTTGGTGTTTCGGAGCTGCTCGAGAAAGAGAAAACCAAAGCCCGTCAGCGTGCCTATGGCGATAACAATCTAAAGGGCCTGCGAGTGGATCACGACATGGATGATTTCGGCGAAGGACGCACGGTTATCCTAACACTCAAGGATCAAGATGTGCTTAACGAAGAGGAGGGTGATACTCTAGTCAATGTGAACATGGTCGACGAAGAGCGCTACAAGAAGAATGTGGCCAATAAGAAGCAGAATCCGCTCAGTTATGGATACAATGTGTATGAGGAGCAGTACGATGAATTGGGTAATCCCATAGAGCGTTCGGTGCTGGAGAAGTATGATGATGAAATTGAGGGCCAGCCGAAAAAGCGAAAGAACTTTGTGATTGGCGAGAGTATGGATGAGGAGCGGGAGCACAGACGCAAGCTTCTGGAGATTAAAACCAAATTAGCCGGCAAGCGTTTGGAAACTTTGGAGGATACCAACTTGCAGCTAGCATCCGACACATACAGTACAGAAGAATTGGCTAAGTATGTTTATACTCCCTTAATAAGAAATGTTCTTTTGTACTTACTTTACTTACTTGCAGATTTAAGAAGCCGAAAAAAAAGGTTAAGAAACTTCGCCAAAAACTAAAAGCCGACGATCTTGAGCCCTTGGTGGAGGCGGGAACTTCTAATTTTGGTAGTCGTGGTGGACGGTATCGTGATCACGAGGATGAAGAGATGGAAGTGATTAAAACTGAAGTTAAAGTGGAAGCAGAGGATGACGATTTAGAACGCGTTTTGGCGAAGGCTCGCAAGCTAAAACAGAAGGAGAATATCATCAAGAAGCCCTTGCCCGTCGGCTTCGAGAATATTCAGCGGGAAATTAAACCTGAACCCGTTGAGGACACCAGTTCAGGTGTGGTTCTTACCGGAGTGGATGGCAACATCGTATTAAACGCCACAGCGGAGTTTTGCCGCACTTTGGGCGACATTCCCACGTACGGTATGGCGGGCAACCGTAACGAGGACTCCAACGACATGATGGACTTTGATAAGACCGATCAGCCGGAGGAGCACATGGACACTCATGACGATGAGCCTGCCATGAATCACGGAACCTGGAATTCAGTTAACCCAGATGAAGTGATGCAGCCCGCCGATTTGGATAATCTGGGAGATGACCTGGAGGATCGTGCCATTTTAGACGAGGAGCCTGATGTGGGAGCTGGCGTAGCGAATGCTTTGCGGTTGGCTCTCTCTAAGGGATACCTCGAAAAGGAGGAGAAGAATAGGCCAAGCAACACCAAAATGGCTCATCTGCAGGCCAAGAACTATTCCATTGAGGATAAAGCTGCTGGGTAAGTTAAAATATTACCTGGAAAGGGTAACTGAACTTAATTGGGAATCTTATCTTTTCAGTGAGGACGAAAAGGTTGGGCGCCGTGATCGCTTCCACTTTGGGCCCATTACGGACTTTAAAGACAAGGAGACCTTCAAGCCCAATGTCAAGCTGGATTATATCGACGACAATGGTCGCATATTGAACCTCAAAGAGGCTTTCCGGTACTTGTCACATAAGTTCCACGGCAAGGGACCTGGAAAGAACAAGATTGAAAAGCGTCTGAAGAAAATGGAACAGGATGGGGTGAGTACACCATTAATCAACAATTATGGTCGGAAAATTAATTGCTAAATATTTTCTTGCAGCTAATGAAGACCATGAGCTCAACTGATACACCATTAGGAACTCTGACCATGTTGCAGCAAAAGCAAAAGGAGACCAAGACCGCTTATGTGGTGCTCAGTGGCAACAATAAAAACGCGCCAGGGGTCAGCGGCAACTCAATAGCCAAGTTCAAGTAGAGAAGGAAGAAGGAAAGACAAGCGATTAATTTACCAAGATAACCATAACCAAATGCAATAGATACTTCCTAATCCGCGTACTAAATACTTAAGTTTTGAACTCCTATTTGTGCATCCGGCCCAAATATGTAATTCTCTTCATATTTATTCAAATACACTTTGGATTTATCTTAAAAGGCTAATCTGAATGGGGGGATCCTCACTTCGACGAGTCACTGAAAATTTGAAATGTAGCCATCTTTACAAGAAACTTATTGAATATGAAACATTATACTTACAATTAAAGGATCTGCCGAGCACAGTTTTCTTTTGACCTTGAACCATCTGGAAGCCCTGACAAATCCTATCTGAACACTCAATGCTGGAAGACCGATTTCTAAAGGTCAAGCTACACTTAGCATCTCCATATGGTATAGAGCTTATATGGACTTCGTCCACATTTGGAGGCGTCATGGTTATGCCAAAGAACATTAAGAATTGGTCGTCGTTGGTTCTGCCAAAATCAAGGGCTCCGTAGCCGAAGATTAGGGCTTGCAAGAATCCGCCAATGCCGGTAAGGAAGTTCGCCGATCCCTCGAAACCAAGGGGCGTCTCACTCCACACTTTGAACTCGGGTCGAACATAGCTCTTGTAGCCACGCTCGAAATACTCGTTGGCCTGCTGAATCTGAAGGGACCTCATATAATTCGCAGCAAACATGGACCACGTCATTGCAGGACCCGATTCTCGGGTTGCGTTTGCATAAAGGCGAAGGTCATTACTGTGTGTGGTGCTTTACGGAGAGAAGAATGGGATTATTGGATTAGTTACATAATCTAATTAGGTAATCTTCACCTGGTATCAAAATTTAACGGATATCCGAGTAGAATGGTATCCGCCTGCTTTACAATGGTATTAGGGATATAGCCCTGGTGCTGGGGATGATAGTTCAGGTTGTCATCTCGTAGTATCACCAACCGATCGCTAACCTCCCGCCATTTCTCAATAAGTTCGGTGCTGGTGTTGTCACACGTTTTACCCAACCACTCTGCGAAGTTCAGTGCAATTTTAGACACAGCATTCGTGTAAACATTATCATTTACGTCTGGATGATCTTCATCGGGTCCCATTACGTCTAGGAAGTGGCACTCATTTTTGGAATCGTCGCATGAAGCTCGGCTCACCAAGAACTCTGCCACTTCACGGGTTATAGGCCAAGCGGTATCACAGGCCCAGGCATTATCGTGGGATTGGGCGAAAAACTTTTGCAGGGCAAAGGATATATCGGGGGATATGTGTATCTCCTGTTGTGAAACTTCGGGGCAGCATGGGTTGGTTACCTCTGTGCCAGTGTAGGCACTTTCCCAGGGAAATCTTGAAGAAAATAAGTAAATGTAAATATCTTTACATTATATATTTCAACCTCACCTTGCTCCCTTGTAGCCAGTGGTATTCGCATGGTATTTTGCTGCCTCCAGTTTTCTGCTGCGATAGTCCAGCACCTGTTTTGCATAGTCGTAGCCAAACAGACTGACAACCGGTAGCATCCAGATCTCCGTGTCCCAGAAGTTGTGCCCCTGGTAGTCCGCCTCCAGATTGCCACGCCCCAAACCAGTGGGACTCAATCCGTAGAAGGGTTCGTTTTTCTGGTGGGTCTCGATTGAAGGAAGAGAACTTACCAAGTAAAATATGCCTGCGTTAACGATCTGCGAGAGTTCAAAAGCATCACCCCTTATTTCAATAGAGAACTCATTGTCCCAGAAGCTGTTCCAAGATTCGGTGTGCTTCTGGAAAAGATTTATAGAGCTTAGCTGGAGCACATCTTGCAGTTCTTTCCGCGCAACAGTTTCCTCTCTATCTATGGTGATGATAACTCTGTAGGTGAACTCATCTTGCCAGGTGGGCCACTGCAGTTGTAGGGTATGGTCCAAGGGTTCACTAAAGAGGACAAAGATCTCCTGAGGATCCGGTTGGAATTTCTCGAGTTCCAGCACCTTTGTGCGTCCTCGAAGTGTGCGATAATCTCCGCTGGAAGAGCTGCCATTGTTTACAATGACAAAGTCAAAGGCATCGCTGGAGTTACCGGGAAAATGAGTGAGTTTCAGGAACTTTGGAGCTAAAAATATTTGAATTGTTATAGTGAGCAGTTAGGTAGGTAATTCGGCAAGACGAAGTTTTATTGCAGATTTTACAAGTAAAAATGTGTCTAATATTGTATTAACATCGAAATATTGACAAATATCTTGAAACACTCCAAAATGTATCAAGGATAAGCTCTCTCCGAATGTGAAAAAAATGGACAGAGGTTAATTTATATACAAAGAATAATCCTATATTTTTAGTTTTAATTTACGAATTTGATTTGAGCTGAACTCATAAAAATAATTATATATTTTAATTTTACTCACAGTTAACTTTCGAAAGTCGGTTGGCAAGTCTCTTGGCTACTACTTCATATACTAAGGCACGATTAAAAAATTTGTGCGGATAGGTTCTCTGCTCAACTGAAATCCCAAGTGTTCTGTATGTTGTCACAACGCGGAAGTAGCCATCCCGAAGATCCATCTCGTAGCTAGTTCCATTTACGTCCACATCGTTACCAGTGGCACAACCGAAGCGATCACAAACTTCCGCGCTGATATTTAGCCAGTTGGGAATGCGAGCCCGCTTGCTATTTCCGCCGGCTCCGTTGTAGACTCCGTTCATGAAGATGGCATCTCCGAAGACTGTATAGCCCAGGTGTCCATTGCCCAAAGTTGGCATAAAATTCAGGTCCGAAGGAAGACTGTAAAGTGCTATCTATTATTATCAAGTGCAGGAGTAATATATATGAAATACAGCTTTGCCATATCTTTGCTTCTGTCAAATGAAATTTTTTTTTCAATTATCCTTTATAAATGGTTAATTATCGTGATGAAAATATGAAATGGTTTTAAGACTATAAAAAAAACTGGAAACGTTTTACATAGAATCTCTTAAATGTATCATTATGTATGGTTACTTATACTCAATCAATTAAAAACATTTTTTAATGTTTTAGTATGTCTTGAAGTATCTTGATTTTAGCCCATTGACATAAATTCTAGGAATAATTGACTAAACAAAATAAACAATGACCTTAAAAAAAAAATTTTTTTCTGACGGTTAAAAATTCATGATTTTAAAAAGTATTTTTTCTGCAATTCGGCCGCTTGTAGCTTGTTGTCGCAGAAACTTCAAGTTTAGTTACCTGTTTGTTTTCAGAAGATATGTTTCCGGCGTTTCGGCAAAGCAGCTTTGCAAAAGCGCTATATTAACGATGAAAAGAATAATTTGTATCACATTTTAGCGATCTACTTAGCAGTAAGGTCCGACGTGTACTGATTTCGTTTTTCACTTCAGTAAATTGCAATTCTCTTGAAGGTGATAAGAACGATGATAATAAGATTTAATCTCTGAGCGGAGAAATGGGGCGATTGAGCTGAGTCGTAAATCAGTTGAATTGAAGTTTTCTCTGCTCACTTTTCTTATTATTGTGTACTCTCGGTGCTTTCCCTAGTTCTCAAGTGATTGCTTGTCAGTTAATATATGGTCCTTAGGGTGAGTCGATTTTGAGATCTTCAAATCGTAGGGGGGACGCAGTCTATGGACAATTATAGGCAATATTGCCAAAGAAACTATGTCTTCAAAGAAAAGCTGGACCGTCCGCACTTGCAAGAGAAAAATACCGTTTTTTGATGAAACTTTTGGAACATTGGTATGGACGCGAAATAAGTTAATTGTAAGCATTTAATGACAAGTTTCTTTCACAACCATAGTTTCTTTGGCAATATTGCTTATAATTGTCCATTGATAGCTTTCGCCCCCTACGACTTGTCACTTTTTTTTGTCCCATACAAATCGAACCACCCTAAATAAACTTAATAGCTTAATAAGCTTAATAATTTGTTAAAAAGTAAAGTACCCAATCGACAGGTTCTATGATAAGGAATTAAAAAAAATAACGGAAACTCTTCCTTCTTTAAGTTTTGGAACCTACCTTCTTATCAACTAGACCTCGTACTGTTACTAATCTACGAGTAACGGTGAAGCTTACTCGCTATCATATCATTTAAAATTTATTTCAACAACTTAATTGTAATCTTAAATAATTTAGTATAGCTTGTTTCCTTTAATGATGATAATGTATTGATATCTTACCTTCGTAAGCTATCATACATTTTAATTATAATACATTTTCTTTCTGTTGATTAACTCATTTTGTACAGCTGCCTTATTATACCTGTTCATGACTAAGGATGGAAAGTACTCATGAAGTATGGCTAGAAGAGAAGGTAGCCTTTCGGCATTGATCTTAGTTTTTCTACCGCAATGCCGATAATATTGTCCCATGTCCAAAGGCAATTGGCATTCTTCCCAAGCACTTGAAAACAATAAAAAAGTAAAACACGAGGAGGGAAGTACACACAAGTGCCTGACTTTTTATTGCACAGCACTTAGAGATCTGAATGGGCAGACAAGAAATCGACTTGGATGGGCCAAGATTATCAAGACGGAGATTAGACCTGACCCACAGAGAAGATGCGAGTGCTGAATGGAGGCACAATCATGGGAAATCTTCTAATGTAAAGGGGAAAAACTCAAATATAAAATAAGAATAAAAGTCATTAAAGATTGACTACTGTCAGGTGGCTAAGGCCAGACCTCTGTGGCTGGGTGGCCCTAGACTACATTCTTTTCACTATTTCTGTCGTTTTTATGATATTTTCATAATTCCTAGTTACAAGGTAATTATGGTCTTTGTTGTCGACTCTAATTACCTGGGAGTCAACGTCTGCCCTTTCCCACATCGGATGTCGGCTGTAGCCCTTGCTGAGCTTTACATCTGGCTGAATCGGCCTCCCACCCGATCTGAGTATATCCGAAATATTCAACGCCATCTTAGTATTTGACAACCAAGCGTAACCAAGCCAAGAACCGACTAGCTATAACCTATATGCGTTCGTGACTTAAACCCCCTTTGATGGTTCTGTTACCCCAAGTATGTGGCGGTATCAGTACACTACAATTGTATTTCGGCATAACATAATCTTTTTAAGAACATATTTTATTCATACGATTTTTGAAAATGTTATATAAGAACTATTGTAAAAAACTATTTTGAAAATTACACCCATAACATTTTATACAAAATTAAATCTTTTGAGATTGTAGATACAAACTATTGCCCATACTTTGATTTATATCAATGATAATTGCATAGATATAACTATAGAAACTCAATCAGCTTAAGAATAATATATCATAATGCTAAATAAAACATTTCAAGGTATTACATTACATTTATTTCCTATGGCAATGGCCTAATAGTTCTGAAATCAATTTTCAAGAGTGTACTTGTATCTGTTCCTTTATCTGAATCTTACCGGCCTATAGTTTTCTCTCCGAGGCTCCGAAGTTCGGTTCAGCTGAGCTCGGCACTAATTTTAATGGCGTTACGCCGCGATAGGTTTTCTGCTCAAGATCCATAAAGAAATGCTCAGGTGTTCGTTCCCCATTTCGTTGGTTCGGCCTGGTAGAGTCTTCTGCGACTGTGGTTTGGGTTGGCACGAGATCTCCATCGGCAAGTATCGTATGTGGGGCTCCTCAGTGATTTACCCTTTTCTACTGTATCATCCCCCGCAACATATGCCTGTACTATTTGGTACTTTTAAAGAAGTCAAAGTCGAGGGCTCTATCGCGATGTTGTCGCTTACCGAAGCGTAACTGAAATATTAAAACAATTTTTTTTTGTTTAGTTTAGTTTTTGTTTTGGCTTTTGTTATTGTCGGCCATTTTGCTGGCGGTTTTGGTTTGGTTTAACGTCAGATTTTTGTTTTCTTTCTTCTTGTTTTATTTGACGTGTTTTTGTTGTTCTTTTTTGCCAACCTGTTGGCCGAAAAGTCGCGTCGAGAAATTTACGCAACGAAGCGTTGCCAATGAGTTTCCGCTTTTGGAGGCATTGGGCTTAGTTGTTGCCATCCGATGTTAATAATGCCATGCGATGACCAGAAATGAAAAAAAATTGTATTGTACAAATGTAGCTAAATCGAGCCGATTTGGATTGAAAAAGGGGCGATACAATGTAAAGAGTAGACTTATAGAAGAAAGTAATTTTCTAAAACATTTATATACCATTTATAAGGAATAAAACTAGATGAAATAGCTATATATAACCCTAGGGCAGCTTACTTTCAAAAGAAGTTTGACCAAGTTTGATATCAAAAATTATCATGTTAAAAAAATCGTACAATTTTCGTCCTAATTCTTATAACATAATTTGTTTTGTTAAATTTGAATTTTCGTGTCGTTAATTTTTGTAAAAAACTTGTAAAAGAAAATCCAATTTATCATCTACAAGCCAAAAATGGTTCACATCGGAACATATATTAAAAAGGTGTACAAAAAACAAAAGAAGGACTCAACGCTAGGTGGCGCGGTGGAGAAGTGCTTTATCTCAGGTACAGTATCTTTAAGTCCTTCACAATCCATTTAGCTAAGTAACGGGTATCTGATAGTCGAGGCGCCTCTCTTGGTAAATTTTTATATTATGAACCCTATAAGCGGAGTAGTAGAAAACTTCTGTCGATGGACGAAAACGGTAATGATTTCGAGAGATCTAATATGAGAGGAAAAGGCATTTTTTTATAATTTCGACTCGGTGGCGTGCCCAACTGTACAGTTCTGTTTTCACACTACTTTCTAATCGAATAGGAGTTATGAAAACATTTTTAAAATGCTCGTTTTTTTCCCCCTACCCTCGCTACCCGCTGTGGCTTAAATCATTGCTCCCTTTTTATATTTTCTGGGGCCGAGTGTTTTTCTGCCTAATTTGTGAGCAAGTGGGGTGCTCTCCCCAAAAAATGAAACGCGTGTGAAAATCATGTTTATTGTGCGGCCACCCAGCCATTGTTACACACAATGTACAATGTGGCAAGAGGAGGGACACATTAATACAGGCAGCCAGCAATCATTTGCTTTCCCCGGCATGGTTTGGTTTTGTTTCTGGTTTTTTTTATGTTTTTGGGACCAACTTTTGGGTGTTATCCAACTCCAACTGTGAGCCGGGAGCTGCCTAATTGTTGTAATTTGCCTAGATATTATATTTATTGTTTGCCAGATAATTATGATGATTATCTATGAAACGGAGTGTTTAAAACGTTTTCCGCTGGCCTGGGAACCAATGACCAAAAAGAGCTGAGAGCTCGAGACCCAGCCAACCCCAACCCAAAGCATTTGCAACTCAATTATGGACGAGCCCGGCTTCTGGCTCATCTTCCCCAGCTGCTGCTTCATTATGCACCTGACCACTCGTGCAATTTCTAGCTGATAATTTGCATTATTTTGTGCGCCCAGGTGGCTGCAGCCGGAGCAGCACCATCCACGGTTATGGGTTATGGCAGTGGCGATGGCGATGGCGATGGCGATGGCAATGGCTACGGGTTCTGCCTTATTCATGGATGATCTCACGCGTTGAGCACTCGCTTTAATTACACTGCACATGTGGGATAATATTTAAATATTATTATAGTTTATTATTTCATCTATAAATAATAATTTAATTCCTTGCCTATAAATGAGATACATACAAATGTAAATTTTTTTAACAAACGCATTTTGGATAAAATTAAAAAAAGGGAAATATATTTTTTTGTTACAGATTGTGTTATATATTGTATTTCAATGATAATTTTTTAAATAAACACATAAATTCTTTTCGATTTTAGCTTTTTAATGAAATGCATGCTTGTTAAAAATTATAATAGGACCTACTGCTGAATTATGTCGATATCTGCGTTTGTTCCCAGGGAAAAAAACTACATTTAAATTCAAAAAAGAATACTGTTAAACTTCTAATAAATTTTATAAAACAAAATAAAATATGTTCAATGTACTTAAAATGAAAAAAAAAATGTAAAATGAAAATAAACTGTATTGTATTAAGAAATGGAAATTTACAATAATATAAATTTTCGAAATCTATAGCTGCTATAGCTCATGACCACTGTTAGCATTTAGTTTACAATTACTTGTTAGCATTATATAAATAAATAAATAAATAAATTTTCGAAATACCAATGTGCTGTAATATTTAAGGTATGTTGTCTCAAAAGCCTTGACTAATTTTATATAATACAAAATGTGTTTCAGTAACAATTGAATTTTGTTTGGAAAATTAAATTTGTTGTAAGCCTTTAAATTTAATGTTTGTTCTTAAGTAAAATGTTGTCTTGAAAACATTTCCAATAGCATTTTATTTCCTTTGGCAACCTCATGATTTTGCAGATTGGTGTGGCTTTTTTCGCTGACTTCGCTTGCCATGTGCAGTGTCTGTGACCTTTTCGCGGCTGC